GGGTCATCTTCAGCTAAGACAGTTTAATTTTTCTAACAGGGTGGTTAGCCTTTGGAATGGGTTGCCTTTGGAAGTTGTAGAGGCAGTAAATTTAAGTGAGTTTAAGATAAATCTTGATAAGTATATGAATGATAAGTGCTGGCTTTAAGATTTTTTGTTAATTATTGTAATTTAATTTAGAAGATGGAACAGTCGAGATGGACCAATAAGTCCCATGTTGTCCCAAAACGTTATGTTATTATTCTATAAAATGATTTTGTTGTGTAATACCTAAAATGTCATAAATTACAGTCATTCTTTAATTGTTTTATGCAGTGTACTTACAGGCCAAATAGCTACTTCAATTGGGTGTATTCTTTGGATAGAGCAAATATTTTATATAATCTTTGGCCTTCATGGTTGCCAATAGTATATTGTTTTTCATACAAGCAGTGCATAGAGTTCATTGCTTTATGGTGAAACATTAACATTATTTTCACTTGCAGAACTTCAGTTGTTTGTTTAAAAAAAAACAAGATCACAAGTAAAACTCTGACACACTCAAAACTGATGTACAGTTCAATTTATTGGATATTAAATTGAATACATGCACCTCCTATCATATGTAGGTAACCTAAATATGCACATGTATTTTAACTTAAGATGTTTTCATATGTAAGTTGTCTTTTGAGTACACTCTTTATAAATGTATATATGTTAAATATACATAATCAGACATGAGATCTGTATGCATCTGTCTGCCTATATGTTTATGTATGCAAAATCATTTTTATCTTCTAGCATATCTATAGTTAAAAATGTTTTATTTTCTTCGTATTATACTACTACAGGTGTGAATGGTGAAAATGGTGCTCAAGGGCTTAAAGGTCAAAAGGGAGAGAGGGGATCAGTATTTGGTGGTAAATCTGGATTGCCAGGACCTCCTGGCCGCCCTGGTTAGTAATATTTTATTATTAATAATTTATCACATGATAAGTTGGAAGCTTCTATTCGTGTATTCTAGTCATTTTTTATTGTAACAAGCAACTAGTAATTTTATATGTTAGGTGAGCAATAACCTATTCCTTTTTTCTTTGTAGTTAGTCTCATTAACTTGTATATATTATTGGGTATATTTTTAATATAATTTTACATACTTTTTGAAAATTAATATAACAATATAAAAATTATTTTGCATTATTATCTTAATGGGATTAATCTGAACTTTCTAAGGTGACTGAACCTCTTATTATATTACTGAGATTATCATAAAATACTATTATCAATGAAGATATCTAACTTAGTGCTTTCTAAACACTACAGGTTTCAGTTTTCTTTTATATTGAATTATGACATTATGTACTTCTGGTCAGTTTTCTAGACAGGATTGGTTTCGTTAATTTTTAAGTAACTTTTCCAAAATAATTTGATTCTAATGTAGTTAGCTTACTTTTTGTTACAAGTTCTTAATATTTGATTTAACATTTTTAACAATGGTTTAACTATTACCAAAACATTTATATACTCCTATAAAAATATGCATTAACTTCAAATTTTCAGGTATAAGAGGAGATAAAGGACATCCAGGAATACCAGGTTTAGTTGGGGTACCTGGGGCTAAAGGTCAGTATGGTGAGGTTGGTGTTAGTGGACAGAATGGTCAACCAGGAAAGAAGGGGCTGCCTGGATCTCCTGGGGTGCCTGGAAAAGATCACCTTATAGGTGTTCCTGGTAATTTTGTTTTAAATTAATTAAACACATTGATAAATCAGTAGGTATAAGGAAATATCGTAAAATGAGAAATAGAAAACTCTGAAGGAAACATGAAATAAAGGAATGATCTACTCCAAGGTTTTTAAATTTTCGTTTCAAACACTGCAGAATATAATAATATAATATTCTATGTTTTTAAATAATTATTTTTGAGACTTAATTTTCTTTACTAGATTTTAACAAGTTTTATTTTTTCGAACGTCTGTGAAAGGAATGAAAGGAGAAGTTGGAAATTTAGGACTAGTAGGATTACCTGGAAGAGAAGGACAACCTGGAAGGCCAACTAATCAACCTGGTGAAAAAGGTAACCTAATGTTTTTTAAATTAGTATTACACTAGGGTGTATGTAAAATATGTATGTGATTTTTTTTTTTTTTTTTTTTTTTTTTTTCTACAATGAGTTGCTGTAATTTCATGAATTTCCATGAAATTAATATTGTAGTTGAACTGCTAATATTAACTAATTAGAAACATA